GCGTTTTAAATCATCGTCCCAATAGTTTCACTCAAATCGGTAGCCGCACCGCCTCTCTTAAGTGTTCTGCTCAGCCAATTCTTTCTTAAGTAATCTGTCCCGCCGTTCGGAACCTCGAGAGGCACAACAACAACAATAAGCAACACCTCCCAAACGAATCTGATACCAAAAGGCCGGGACAGTTCGGCGACGAGGGGGGGGGGGCACTTCGCTCATTTGCTACTTCCCATGGACGTGGGACCCATCTAGAGAGCCTTTTCGTGAGTTGACAGGTTTTATCCATGGTGGCTCGACGAGCTTGCTCCAGCTTCACAAGAGTTCACAGGTTTCACCAGAGTGAGACTTGTAAACCGGAACTAGTGAAGCAGTGAAAGTGCAAAATGCCCCCCCCGTCGTCGAACTGCGCCCAGAAGGCCTGGTGGGAGCCAGGATTTGACTCGCAGATCGCGCACGTGGTAGGGTGCCACTTGCCACTACACCACCTAGGTCCGGAAGAGGGGCAAAAGGAATTTCTAGGAGAGATTCGTATTCAGCGAGAATTCTCCACAATGCCAGGCCCTACTTGTTGGTTGCCTATAAGGTTTGAAATCTTGATCCATCCACTTTCGTCAAAGCAGATATTTGCGATTTCTTTCGAAGTGTGAAGAATATCTGTAGCCAAAGAGGACGTGGTATATATTAGCCTGATCTTGCTAGCTGAAGCTTACAATCCCAATATAGCTTCAGATCTCCGAGACACGGTAGGCGTAGCTGCGTTCTTCATTTGAGTTCAGTATAGGATGGGTTGGTCGTGGGGTATTTCAAGTGTGAGACAACTATTATTTTGTCTTGTGCTTGTCCAGGACATATTTACCTAAACACTGCACTTAAACCTCATGCATCGCCACGTTCGAATGAAGGATAGTCTGTTTCGCCGTAGACGCTGGTACGTGTCGGGGGGTGGGGATGGGTATGGGGCGGCGCCAACCCGTTCTCCCCCTAGCCCGCCTCAACAATGGGTGGAGAACTATCTGGCACCACGCTAAACCCAGCTCCCTTCCACGTCCAAGCGTCCGCAGCGAAAATTCATGTGTGTTTCGTAGTATGAAGACATATGCGATAAGGGATTCGACGAATGTTTGGTGAATGAGAAACGGGGCGTGGTTGCCGTTCACGTCTCAGTTTTGCATTTAAGGACTACTAGACTTTTTTCCTTTCACGAAAAATACGGTAGCGAATAGGCACCGAGCGGATATAAACCACCCATTTACCAACTATGGATCTTTTGTGATTACCTTTGACGGAGGGATCAGTAATAAAAGGCTCGTCTGGGTAAGCAGCGGAACCGTCCTTTTTACAAAATAATCATTATTTTTGGAAGCACTTCCTTGATAATTATTCAATTCCGTTTTTCTCTTCCATTGCTTCGAGCTAGTGAAATCAAATCTATAACGGTAGATCACTGATAAC